CCAGGATGGTCTTGATCTCCTGACCTCGTGATCCACCCGTCTCGGCCTCCCAAAGTGCTGGGATTACAGGCTTGAGCCACCGCGCCCGGCCATAATTATATTTTTTATATGTATATATCTCAAGTGGTTGAAATTGGGGTAGAAGGACCTTAAAAATGCCCTCTTGAAACCCTAAAGGACAATGGAAAGCCCTGAAAAGAAATCAACGGATTAGATCATCGCCAAGGTTTTTTCCAGCTTTAGAGTTCTGGAACACCAAAACAGGGTTGAAAGGAAGGCACAGAGTGATTAATAAATTAATAAAAATTGAAATGCTGATTATTAAGCCAAGGCTATCTGAATCTAAAAACCAGGCTGAAAAAGTTCAGATGCCCAGTCAACGTTATACAATAATGACAGCACTAGCTAACTTGCTAAAGGTCACAAGTCAAGTGATAGACAGAGGGAGGTCTAGATATGTAGGTACTGAAACTGCAAATTCTCCATGCGCTCTGCCTTGTTTATTTAATATTCTCATGTGAATGACTATAAATCATTGAACAACTATCACAAGCTTTAACAGCACAATGAATGTCCTAGACTCTTTAAAGTGGCGCCAACACAATATTGTGCTAAATGACTTTCATTTAATCCTCATGCCATTCTGTGAACCAGGTACTTCACTGCTATCACCATTGCACACATGAGAAAACGGGTCCAGGGAGTAAAGCGCCTTGCACGTGGCCACACTGCTGTGAGCAGCAGAGCTGTTCTTTAAGTTCAGGCCTTTGGTCCACAGCTGATAGACCACTATGCACATATGCATACATGATTTAACCACTATGCAACACTAGATTGTTGCAAATAGACTGCCAGAAATGGTCATGGTCTCTGACAGTGATTTTTCTGTTTGATTTCCAAAATTGTTTAGACTAGAAAAAAGAAAAATTCCCAATGAAAAATTCTAGATCAGTTCAACACAATGAGCTTCAAGTTGAAAATCTTACAGGAGGCCGGGCGCAGTGGCTCATGCCTGTAATCCCAGCACTTTGGGAGGCCGAGGCGGGCGGATCACGAGGTCAGGAGATCGAGACCACCCTGGCTAACACGGTGAAACCCCGTCTCCACTAAAAAATACAAAAAACTAGCCGGGCGAAGTGGTGGGCGCCTGTAGTCCCAGCTACTCGGGAGGCTGAGGCGGGAGAATGGCGTGAACCTGGGAGGCGGAGCTTGCAGTGAGCTGAGATCACGCCACTGCACTCCAGCCTGGGCGACAGAGCGAGACTCCATGCCCCCTCCACCCAAAAAAAAAAAAAAGAAAATTTTACAGGGCTATAAACTTCATCATGTCAACAACCAGACCAGAGGATATAAAGTAATATACTTTCTTACTACAGTATGGGAGGTTTAAGAGGTCCCTAAATGATAGAAATAGTGTGTAGGTGGTCTTTTTATTTCTATTAAAGAGCTTTCATTTAACATCTGCCAATGGATTCCTGCCAATTCACTTCTAAAAATACATACCAGTCGGCATCAGGATAAAACAGTCTTCACCAAGCAGTGCAGCATTGATCGCCTCTAGCTGATTAGTTCTAAAATTATGCAGGCCAAATTTTTTATGAAAAATCTTCATCATTTCCTTTGTATGAGGAAAACTAAGACTTTGGAAACGTTCATGTTTCAGATTTCTGGATGCTAAATTTTGTGCTGACTTGTCTAGGAAAATAATCAACATTAAGAAAAATCAGTGCATGAACACAGTGAAAGTACAGCTTTAGCATTTCCCTTGGCCTGCAGAATCACTGGCACACGTTTCCCTGCAGCACAGTTCCTAAACTGTTTACCGGCTTTCCTTCCCTACAAGTCTCAAAGCCACCAAAGACTTGCCAAAGGCCCAAATCAAGTATTTCCTTGACTTTTTCTACAGCACCTACCACTACTTTTATTCCTTCCTTCCTCTTCTCCCTTCCTCCAACCACGATCATCAAGACAATCATGGTTTTCTACTCACTTTAAATTCCCTTTCCTGGCTCTACTTCCTCCATCTGCCCCATAAACAGGGGAGTCTTTCAGATATTTGGGACTGGGCTCTGTAGACATTCTTTTTTGGAGCTTTCCTAGTCCTATGATCTTAGTCACATCATAGCTTAGTCACTTAGCTGCACACATGACCTGTGTGCAGCAAATGTCTACACCTCTCTTAAGACCCAAATGACACCCTCCTAAGTTCCAGTCCTGCGAACAGCTCCCGTTGTCTGCAAGGCATTGGTACCTGAATGACTTACCAGCACTTTAACTTCTAGTCTTAAAATAGCCCTTCTTAGCTTTTCTCCAAATCTGTCTCTGCCTCCTGACTCCCCTGTTTGTGTTACTGTTGTCACAGTTTTCCCAGTCATCAGCGTCTGAAACCTTAGAGTCATCTGAGCTTCCTCAGGCTCTTCTTTCATAACACCTCTCACACGCGCCCCTGCTCTGCAGCCTGGCTGTCGCAACTCCGGTTCAGCACAGAGAACAAGAGGTACTCACTCAGCTCTGGCAGTTACGCTAACCCCAACACTCAACTGTCTCAAGATAATTGCAAATATCAAGTATGACACATTCTAACATGATACAAAAATAAATCCATTAATGGTTGTTTTAAAGGTCAGCAGCGTAACTGTAAGAACAACCTCCGTGGTATTAAGTCATCAATGACAAAAATAGGGAGGGCTGTACCTTATAAACTTTTTTCAGCTAAAAAATACTTTTGATAACTTTATATAGTTGATGTAAGGTTTTAAAATTATTTTTGGCTTTTCTCTGGAGTCTTAATAGTGGCTAATTTCATTCCTCTCAAAACTTCTCTCTCACTAAGCTGTGAGCTCCAGGAGGGCAGGAACTACTTAGTATTTGTTATTCATCTTTAAATGACCAGTGCCCAGCATAGCACATGGCATGTAGTGAGCACATAGGCCCAAAGAAGTAGTTTGACTGATGTAAGACACTTCTGACTTCACATCCTTTTTAGACTCCCTATATTTTAACATTTTAAGACATAAAACATGCTTCCCTACTTTGTATTAATTGATTCTCATCAGTACAGAATTCTAAAGTACATTTTTAGCATGCGAATTCATTTTTGCTTTTGCTCATCCCAAAATCATTAAAAACTTGGCCCTCATGAGTTTATTGTTTTAGGAACTAAAAAATGTTAATTCAAAGGCAAAGCACATTTGTAATGACTTTAGAGCCCTACTACAATAGGTTATAATTACACATTTTATAAAACTACAGCTGCTATAGAGACAAAAGAGCAACTTGCTTTTGAAATTGTGATTTGTAATTCATATCATCAGTAGAAATTTGCATAGCAACAATGTGGTTTTCAGGCAATCATGATTTGCTATGGTTTTTCTTATATAATTCCTATTTTGGGACAGTTTTGTTTTCATATAAGCATTCAATTTATTTTAAACTTACCAGTGTGATTCTGAATTGACTCCGAGAAGTTTATATTTTGAGCAGTAGATGCCACTGGAAGACAGTTTGTCTTGGCTGAAGAAAGTCTTTCCGATACTGATTTAATTGGCCGACCTTCCTTGATGGGTTGATAGGCAGCTGTGGAAGATTTGCTGGCTGCTAAATTATGCATTATGTTTTCCCAGTCATCATCATCATCAAAGTCATCTATGTCAAAATTATCAATATCATATGAAGGCTGGGTTTCTCTTTCTAAGTCATTTATTGAAGCAGTATGTTTATTTGGATCTTTCACAGCAGTGCTTGTGAGAACATTTCCTGGGAAATAAGAGCTTTCATTTTTTTTTCCTAGTCTTGGTGTTTCAGCCCAGTTGCTACTTACAAAGGACTTCTGTAAAGGGGTATTGAATGAAGGCCTTTCAAAAAGATTCTCCCTGGTGGCTGAGAATCCTGTCTTTCCTAGGGTGGTAGTCAGTAAATAGTCTCCAGGGGAAACAGAATTTGAGGGAAGGTGTGAAAAATTTAACTCCTTCATAGAATTCCCTGCAGAGCAGGAATCACCCTCCACAGGGCCATCAAGTGAATCAGGCCTGCATCTCCACACGGAGCCAAGAAGACTGGCATCACTTTTATTAAAATCTACTTCTGTTAGAAGTTTCCTTCTGAAGAGAGAAAACAGAACAACGTATTAAATATAAGTAGTTTACTCTGGTAGGCCACAAAAGCAAATCTTTAGTTTTCATACCAAATAGAAATTATAGCAAAATACATTCGTTTTTTTCTAACTTAAAAATATGAATACGAATGGTAAAGGAGTAGTTTGAAAAGTAAATGAATTTAAAAAATAGTTGCATGATGAGCATCTTTATGCCATTTCCAGGCCAGAAAGCCTGAACATTTTGCCTTGTCCATTTTTTTACTTAAGAGTGGTAAAAATATAATCGGATATATTCCAGAAGGAGGAAAATCAAGATACCTTATGTTCCGCTGCTGAAGCAGTTCGTTCCCACAATCCAAAAGTTTCAGTTTATCAGCAGGAATAGTATCAATTAATTTACAGATGTGGTCCATCACGTGAATAAGCTGCTGCTGTAAATTTATCTGTCTAGCTATAAAGTAATTATGTTGTTAATATTTTTCTTTGAAAAAAAACAAAAAACAAAAAACAAAATGCCTTGGCTAGGCGTGGTGGCTCATGACTGTAATCCCAGCACTTTGGGAGGCTGAGGCAGGTGTATCACCTGAGGTCAGGAGTTCGAGACCAGCCTGGCCAACGTGGTGAAACCCCGTCTTTACTAATAATAAGAAAATTAGCTAGGCGTGGTGGTGCGTGCCTATAATCCCAGCTACTTGCAAGGCTGAGGCAAGAGAATCGCTTGAACCTGGGAGGTAGAGGTTGCAGTGAGCTGAGATCGTGCCACTGCACTCCAGCCTGGGGGACAAGAGTGAGATTTTGTCTCAAAAAAAATAAATAAAAAAAAAAAAGAAAGAAAGAAAGTGGGTCTGGCTCTGTTGCCCAGGTTAAACTGCAGTGGTGCAATCACTGCTCACTGAACCCTTAAACTCTTGGGCTCAAGAAATCCTCCTGCCTCAGCCTCCCAAGTAGCTGAGACTACAGGCGTATGCCACTGTGCCCAGCAACACAACACATCTTTTTTTTTTTTTTTTTTTAATTAATTATTTTTTGTAGAGACAGGGTCTTGCCATGTTGCCCGGGCTGGTCTCAAACTCCTGGGCTCAAGTGATCCTCCCACCTTGGCCTCCTAAAGTGCTGGGATTACAGGTGTGAGCCACTGTGCCCAGTCAAGTCTTAAGATTTTGAAAGCCACATATGTAAAATGTGAAGCAGTGTAAAAACAAGATCATAAACAACCATATATTGTCCTATTATCTTCCTGTGAATTAACTTGAAATTAGGTTGTCTCTATGCTTTATCATAAGAGCTCATAACTGTTTTCATTTAATTTAATAATATTTAATAAACATTTCTCGGGGTAAGCAAGGTCATTGGCTGGAACAAAGGTTTATCAGTTAGCTATGATTTTTTTTTTTAAACTAACTTCATGTGCAAAGCTCACTGTGCCAACACAAAGTGTACTGCTAAGCGTTGGACAGGCAAGAGCCCTACCCATTGTTTTGATCGGCCTGGAATCCAGGCTTCCCTTTAATGGTAACAGTATAGCACCGAGATTTCCTATTAGACCTACCCTTCCCACTCCCTCAGTAGGCATCTGACATAAGGCAGCCCAGTGAAAATTAACTGTGGAAATACTTAGGACTGACTGGGAAAAAGTACCTCTCTTTTTCCAAGTTTAATATGATTCTGGTGGCCATTTCTGTCACCTTATAAAGAAAGACAGATTTCAAATAAGATTGATACAAAGGAAAAGTAGAAAGCAGATAGAAAGAAATGGAGGCTTGACCCAGAGAGATGGGACAGAAGAGAGGAGAGAGAAGGCAAGTGAGAGAGAGAGCAACTCCTGATACGATGTTGGAACAACTGAATCCTGCCAGCCCACTCCCATTTTAAAAATTAAGCCATAACTAATAAATAGAATTTCAAAGCAGTTGAGGTTTTATTTTATTTTATTTTTTGAGACAGATTCTCGTTCTGTCTTCCAGGCTGGAGTGCAGTGGTGCAATGTCAGCTCACTGCAACCTCCATCTCCCAGGTTCAAGCGATTCTCCTGCCTCAGCCTCCTGAGTGCCTGGGACTACAAGCACACGCTACCACGCTCGGCTTTTTTGTATTTTTATTAAGCATGGGGTTTTGCCACGTTGGCCAGGCTGGTCTCGAACTCCTGACCTCAAATGATCCACCCAGCTCGCCTCCCAAAGTGCTGGGATTATAGGTGTGAGCCACTGTGCCGGCCCTTTCCTTCATCTAAAATCTCAACTGTGACTGGGCATGGTGGCTCACGCCTGTAATCCCAGCACTTTGGGAGGCTAAGGCTGGAGGATCACCTGAGGTGAGGAGTTTGACACCAGCCTGGCCAACGTGGCGAAATCCTGTCTCTAATAAAAATACAAAAAAGTTGGGCATGATGGCGTACGCCTGTAGTCCCAGCTATTCAGGAGGCTGAGGCAGGAGAATCACTTGAACCTGGGAGGCGGAGGTTGCAGTGAGCAGAGATTGCACCAGTGCACTCCAGCCTGGGTGACAGACCAAGAAAAAAAAAAAAGAAGAAGAAAAGAAAAAGAAAATGGCAACAGGAAGCAAGGACAACAGATGCCTGTGCCACCTCTCAGGCCTAAAGTCTGCAGGAGAAAAAAACAGTTTAGGTGGGCTGCAGGGGAAACAGTGTATATTCTCAAAAAATGATTAGAGAAAGAAGGGGAAGAAAATGATCAGAGAAGACGATGAGGCTACCGGGAAGCTGTTGATGGAGCAGTCAGTTAAATGGTTTACAAGCCAGGAAGGACAGGAAGTGAGGACAGAACAGGGAGTGAAGATGGCAGGGTGGGGAAGGGTATCTGCACAAGAATGGCCTGGGAAATTTGGGCTTCTGCTGGTGACTGAGAGAAATGTGAGGTGTGAGACGTAAAACTGGAATTGCTGAATTCCTATGTTACTTCTGTTTTCTCTGCAAGAAAAACAAGCATCTGATTGGAAAGAGAATACACAATGGTCTGATGGAACTGAAAGCTAAGACAGGCTCAGAGGGAGATAAAAGAGAGTACCTAGCTATCAGAAACTAGCTCAAGACTCCTTGTCTAGACAGATTATACCTCAGAGTACAAAGGAAACCTGCAAACAGGATCTCAGAGCCCCTGTCACTGACACATGTGTGAGGCATCTAGTGAATAAGATAAATAATGGAAAGTAAGGACAAACATTGGTCTAATTTTCAAAAAATTTGAAAGTGATTGACAAAAACTACAGGCTGGGGATTTGATGTAAATTCAAAGCAAAATTCTAGAGTCTGTTATCAAATAGCTGCTTTGTGAGCTCTAAGGGGGAAGAAACAATTATAGAGTCAGAAAGACAAACCACCCATCTTAACGTATTTCCTTCTTTATAAGGATTACTAGACTGGCAGATAACAATAGCTATCATTTATGAAAGGCCTGCAGTGTACTAGGCATTTTACCTTGAATCCTGACAACTACCCAGCAAGGTAGATATCATTCTCCTCATTTTATAGAAGAAAAAACTGAAGTCCAGAGAAGTTTAACTATTTGCCATAGTCACACAGCCAAGAGTAGGAGGAGACAGGTTTCTATCACAGGTCTGTAGCACTCTAGAGTCAATGTCCCACCCATTCCTCTTGCTGCCTCACACCTCAAACTTTTTGGAGTCACATGGCCAAGTCTTTTGTGTCTCCATGGATAAAGAACAGAAACGTGGTCTGAAGACAGATATGTAACTAGCTGAACAAGAAGTGGTAATGAATGGACTGATGTAAGCCAAGAGGGAAGCCTCTACTGACATGCTGGAGAACTCTGTCCTTGCCCCTGTTCTGGCTAACCATTTTATTAGTGAAACTTAATGATACAGAGACAGTATAATGCAGTTGTTATTAATGAAAACTCAAAGCCTCAAGACTGCTGTGTTCAGATCCTAGCTCTGCGGCTAATTCTATGACGGTGTGTAATTATTTAATGCTCCTGTACCTTAGTTTCATTATCTGTTAAATGGGGATAACAGAAACTACCTTAAAGTGGGCCAGGTGCCATGGCTCACGCCTGTAATCCCAGCACTTTGGGAGGCCAAGGTAGGCGGATTACGAGGTCAGGAGATCGAGACCATCCTGGCTAACATGGTGAAACCCTGTCTCTATTAAAAATACAAAAAATTAGCCAGGTGTGATGGCACACATCTGCAATCCCAGCTAATCGGGAGGCTGAGGCAGGAGAATTGCTTGATCCCGGAAGGCGGAGGTTGCAGTGAGCCAAGATCCTGCCACTGCACTCCAGCCTGGGTGATAGAGCGAGACTCTGTCTCAGGGAAAAAAAAAAAAAAAAGAAAAGAAAAGAAATTACCTTAAAGCTTGACGTAGTTTATTGTGATGAGTGAATTAGTTAATATTGTAAGGCACTTTATAAGAGCGCCTAGCACATCAGTTATTTCATGAATATCTCTAAAATAAATTGAGTCCAAAATAAACAACAAAAAAACTGGAGGAAACAAAAACAACAGAGAACACTACACACATGACCTGCACATGCATGCAGACATCGCCAAAAAAGCCCAGCAGCCCTCAGACTCGAACGCATGATAGAAATATTCAGAGAACAAAAAAGAGCTCTTGGAAATTGCCTTGATAGAACTTAAAAAATTCCATAGAAGAGTTAACGATAAAATCGAGGAAATATCCTAAAAAGCAGAAAATCAAGAGATGAAAAATAGAAAAGATAATTAGTGGAAGTCTAACATGCAAATCACAGAAGTTCCAGGAAGAGTGAAAAAGAGAAAAAGAAAGTAAAAAGAAATAATGCCAGAAAAATGTCTACAAGAGGATGTAAATTTTCAGACTGAAGGTGCCTCTGAGAAGCAGACACCAAGGGTGGGAAGGGGGAGGGTCATCTGCCAAAGACTTGCACTGCTATCCGATTATTTACACTAGATATTTAATAAAAAACAAAAAATGAATTAGAAACAAAACAAACAAGCAAACAAGTATTTAGCTTTAAATGAACATCAAGACCCAGACCCAGACTCAGACTCAGAGTATATACGAGGGAGAACCGGAGGATAAAAGGTCAAGAAAGCAATTTCTAGCAAGGAGAGTTAAAAGACCTAACAATATTTAGTCAAGGTGGGGAAAAACTCTATTATGATGAGATTACGTTCTGTGGTCCATGTTTCTGAAACACATGATTTTGTGGAAGTTCTCATTTGTGGAAGATTAAATAAATAAATAAATAAATAAATAAATACGTAAAAACCTCCTAGAATTTAAAGTTGAGTATGAGAGATGATTTCTAACAAGTAGCGTTTTCAAAATATGGAAAGAACGCCCTTGTGAGAGCATGAGTTCATGAGTTCTTCAGGTAAATGCTGGCTAACCAGTGAACAGGGTTATAACATTAGAAGAGACTACAAATCTGCCATTTTATAACATACAGCCGCAGGTTGAAAACACAATCTTTGTGTTACGTTGTTTTCAAAAGTAGTAGTTGAAATACATGATATGTCTAAAATATTGCTTGTACCGTCACAGTCTGTGCTGGTTTCTGGATTCGGCTCCTGTGTACTCATTTTCTCAGGTTTTGACAAAAGATCTTTTGATGTGCTAAGAACATCCTCTTTTCTGTCAGAGGTGTCAAGGTCCTTTAACATACTGCAAATAAAAAAATGTTAAGCCAATCATACTACAGACTAGACCCAATAAATGTATAATTTCAAAACCCTTAATATTTTTCTACAACTGATCAGACAATATATAACAGAAAAGAGAAGTAGTTTTTTTAATTTCCTCAATTATAAAACTTCTTTAGCTGGTCCTCAAAGTTGTCCCTCCTCTGGTCCCAAGAGCCCTTTTCAACTTTATCTCCAATTATGTCCTTTCAGTAACCCAAGGCTTCAATCATACTGTACCACTTACATTCTTCATATAAGCCCTGCATTGCCTATTTTAGGGATTTTGCTACTGATCCCCTCAATCTGGAAAACCTGCCATTCCAATCTCTTTTTACCCAAATTACACCTGTTCTTCTAGCCCCAGCCCAAGCGTTACTTCTCCAGCAAATGATCATTAATGTCTCTTTTTTCTGAGATTTCAAAGCACTTTTTCTGGACTTCTCTTATTATGCAAATATATGTATATGTGTTTGTGTGTGTCTGTATATATAATTACCTCACCACACAGATTATACAAAAACATATTAACATACAAACCTGGTCAGTCTGATTAGACAGAAAAAATACTTTACAAATAACAAAATAAATTAGTACTGAATGAGTGTTAAAGAGAGGATACAGCAGGCAGAGTGCTGGAGAGCAGCAGCGGCGACCGGAGCGGTAGGAGCAGCAATTTATCCGCGTGCAGCCCCAAACTGGAAAGAAGATGCTAATTAAAGTGAAGGAACCAAAGCAGGGAGTGTGTTCAGTCAGCATCTGCCTTTCTGAGCCTGGCATCCTGGACCAGCCTCACTTCCTTGACTGAGGCAGACGCTGACCGGAAAGGAGACTGAGATTGACATTGAACCTACAGACAAGGTGTAGCGGATCAAGGAGCGTGCGGAGGAGAAAGAGGGAATCCCCCCACAACAGCAGAGGCTCATCTACAGTGGCAAACAGATGAATGACGAGAAGACAGCAGCTGATTACAAGATTTTAGGTGGTTCAGTTCTTCACCTGGTGTTGGCTCTGAGAGGAGGAGGTGGTCTTAGGCAGTGATGGACCCTCCATTTTACCTCCGTACCGTGTCGCTCATAATGAGGCATCATATATCCTCTCACTCTCTGGGACACCAGAGCCACTGCCCCCTCCCCTGGATGCCCAGTATTGTACATCTACTGGTGGGAGACTGTGAGGACCCCAGGATTCAGTATTCCTGGCCCAGAGGGCCCTTGCTGGCTATTGGGTGTTAGTTTGCAGTCCTGTGTGCTTCCTTCTTTTATGGCTGTGTCCCTGGTTGTCAATAAAATATTTCCTGGCAAAAAAAAAAAAAAAAAAAAAAGAGAGGATACAGTGGAAATCCAAAGAAAGGTAACATTTTTTGGAACTTGAGAAGGCTTTCCCAAGGAGATAAGATTTAAGCAAACTTTGAATGACAAGTATGGGGAAAGTGCCAGACTATGAAAGAAAGATTTTAAAAAGGACAATTCTATTTGCTTGACATCTGGGAATCAACCATATTTTCCTAAAGCAGAATTTCGGAATGCAACTTTCTAACTAAATCAAAACAGTGTAACTTTTTTATATTGGTTTCTAAACAATAACATTATAATTAAAGAAAATGATAATGCTTTCTAGATTGTTGGTTTGACTCATTAAGACCATTGGATTATTGCAAGGGCATAAGTGGAGATAAAGCTGAAAAAGGTAAATTGTGGCCAGAAGATGCAGAATCTTGAGGGCCAGCTACAGAGGTTTTGGAAAAGAGGAGATTGAAAAACAGGTCTCTCTTCTCTGTTATATACTGTCTGACCACTTGACTTCTGAAATTCAGAGGATACAACTAGTATTTTTTAAAACTGAAATAAAATGTAGCACAGAATTTAAGCTGTGCACTGCACAAAAAAATTGTGAAAATTCTATTTCAGTTTTATAATATATACACATATGTATACTAAGTTACAATGGGAAATGTACAAAGAGAGTCTACCTTGGAAATACTTTGCAAAATAAGCTTTTTTAACTGTTAAGACTCTAGGTAGCCGGGCGCGGTGGCTCAAGCCTGTAATCCCAGCACTTTGGGAGGCCGAGGCGGGTGGATCACGAGGTCAGGAGATCGAGAC